TTATAAATTGTGACCATGTGGCATTTATCTTGTTTGTCTGTTGTTCCATGAGACAGAAGCTTCTAACCATCCATCCAAACCTACCTTCCATGGCAGTAAGACCCTTGCCATTAAATGGGCCTCTGGGATTTAGTTTCGGCCAATGTGGTACAAGTGAAATTGACCTTGCAGGTCACCTTCGATTTAAGAGGTGAGTCACCATCCCTTGGAGTCTGAGTCTTTCTTAGTCTTTCCACTGGCTGTACCATGCACTTGTCTGTGTCTGGTCTGGGCCATATGGATGAGGACAATTTCTGGAGGAATGTCAGAGCCAAAAGATGGTCAGAGCTTGGATCTCTGAAACCTCTGTGGAGCAAAGCAGACCTCCAACCTGGGCTGTTCTTTGGGGTCTGTTATAGGAGGAAAGAGTATAATTCTGTCATCTCTCTCTGCCCCTATAACGTGGAGTCCCTTTGTTGCAATATTGCTGTTACCATAAATAATACATCACGACACTTGAAAATGGTTAGTTGGAAATTCACCCAAGCTTAAGATGTTGCAGAGAGTTAGAATCGAGCATCTCAACTCTGGCTCTTACCACGTGGAGTCTGTGATATACACAGGATGCACTTGGCAGGTTGCACGCATCGGCCAAAGCAGCTAAAATTGAGGTTAAAAATGAATGCAAAGGCGAGCCCCAAGTTGAAAGTCAAAAAGATACACATGTATGTGGCTTGAGATCTACCACGTATGAGGGTATCTCCATAGAGTCAGCAAGGGTTTCTTTGCTTAATTATGGTGTTAGCCAAGCCGCACAAGGTCAGAGAGGCCAGTGAAGAAAACAGCATAACTATATCTCTGTGATGTCAGTTTCGCATCGTACTGAGTGTTACTGGATTTTTAGAAACCAAAGCCATTTTTTAATAAGACTTTGCTATGGCTGAACATGTGATGCCAATACAAAGCCCATCAATCTGCCATGTAAATGACCATTGCTGCAGAGTCTTTATTCTCTGGATTTTGGCAAACGCATATATCCGATCTGCTGCTTTAGAATCGTAAATGTTTAAATGGCACAAAGCTGGCTCCAACCATGAAAACAGATGTTGGGTAAGCATCCCCATTAGCATTCTGTAACTAGCCCTGCCTGAGCAGGCCTGAACTGTTTCTGAACAATTACAGAAGCATTTGCAAATGTGTATTTACAATCTGACAGCAGTATAATTGCCGGGTAGATAGCTGACCTCTCTGTCGGCAGAGAAAGTGGTCCTTCTGGACGTGTTTGTTTATGTGAGCACCACAGAGCCTGGTTTCTGAGAGGAGCTGGCCCAGCAGAAGTCTAGGTTTGAGCGACACTTGTGAACACCCAATTTAGGGTGCAGGGTACTCAGTGAAGGATGTATTACCACCCCCCATTTCCTTTAGTAGTGCAGTTTCTGATATCTATGTTCAGGGTTCCAATTAAACATCAAGTCTGGATCAAATAAAAGAGGAAGTTACTGGCAAGGTACAGATCTCAGGGAATCTACAAAACCACTGAACAAATCAGCCTCAAGAAAGATAGCAGTTGGGAGCCACGCAGCTAATCAACTCAAATCCAAAAGCCTGTGAACCTGCTCTTTTATACCCTGCCATTATTGTAACAAAACCATCTGTTAGAACTGATTGATGGGATAGAAAAGCAACAGGAACTCTACCTCGGTCCTCAGGTCCTTGGAGAAGGCTGCATAGGCCAATCTTGGGTCACTGGCAAGTTTCCAGTAACTTGCAATTACATTCAAGGGCAAGGGTCAGTGGGGCTGTTCTGACAACTCACATCGCGTATTCCACAGTTCCCCTCTTTGCAAGTGCATTCTCCCAGCCAGACAGCTCAGTTCTCCCTCTCTGTCTCTGTCTCTCTCTCTGTCTCTCTGTCTCTGTCTCTGTCTCTCTCTGTCTCTCTGTCTCTCTGTCTCTCTCTCTCTCTCTCTCTCTCTCTCTCTCTCTTTCTCACACACACACACACACACACACACACACATCCACCAGCAGCCTCAGCATAGATAACAAAGTGGTTAAGAGCCCTGCATCTGAAATCAGGATGCTGAGGTGTGAAGAGTAGCTCTAGCATCACCTACTTGGTGACCTCAAGCAAGATATCCATTCTCGGTAGGCATCAGTCTCCTCTTCTGTAACATGGAGAGATAAACCTCCCGTGTTAGGGCTTTCAGGAGATGAAATGAGTTGATACTTGTGATCCTTCTACTTAACAACCCTCCAAAGTGCTCAGAGCGGTACCTGGGAAATGGCAAGTGCTCAAATTTCCACTTACCTCTTAATGATGGCAGTAGTTTAATGATAACATTATATTCCAACAGTAATAATAAGCATTTCTATTTCTCTTATTCAAAGCTTCTTTAGTTTTCTATACTAGTGGTTCCAGAACTTTGTCAGTTCACATAGCTCTTTGTATCTCAGTCATCTTTTAAGGCATATATAGATCAAACAAGAGGACTACAATTTGCTTATGACATAGTTAGATCCTAACAAGTAAGTAAGTATTTATGTCCTTCTAACTTGGTTGCCACTTGAAAATATAGTCTATCCACACTGAAAGAAAAATACTATTTTGATTTCAATCTTAACCATGATTGCTCACTAATGAATTGTGTCCCTGTTGGGTGCACAAGTAAATAAAAGATTCATATAAATACAGTCATAGAGTAGGAAGAAGCCCCTGAAAATAAGGAAGATACTCAGATTTGGGACTCAGGGAGAAAGTCGTGTGGAGGTAGGGACTTGAGCCGTGCCTGATGGATAAGGAGATGCCGCCTAGGTGAGTGGACAGTGGCGTTGTTGGGGGTGGAGGGTTACATTTATTAAGCACTGACCATATGCCGAATTCTTCATTTTGATTATTTCACTTAACTCTCACACTCATTCTCTGTAGTGAGATCTGTGAGGATTCCTGTTTTTATACAGGAAAACCAGAAGGTCAGATATTGGTCACAAGCGTTAGGCCAGGCTGAGGTCTACAATCTGAGTAACACTACTAGACAGTTTAGGATGGTGGATACTTAGCTCCTCCTTTCTTCTATTCTTTTTTGTATTGTTGTTCCGGGAATCGAACTCGGGACCTTGGGCTTGCCAGGCAGGCGCTTGTGCCGTTAGCAATATCCCCAGCTCTCCTTTCTTTTAGTAATGTATATTAAGATAATATTTGTGACCACACAGTTTGTAAACTATGCCAACATCCATACCCAACTCTTACCAGTCACAGAGCCTGTACTTTGCTACTATACCCACGTACCTCAAGCTGCAGCAAGAATGGAAGGTTAAATTTATATTTCTCTCAAATCGCCAGGTGTGGAAGCAGTGCAGTTAATAAAGTAGAGGGAGTACAGAGTTTATTTTTGCCTTAATCATGTCCTCCAGCCTATTTGGCTGGCAGTGCACACAGTGAAATGAGTAATTAGCGAGGGTGATTTTAATTAAAAAGGAACATACCGATTAATAAACACAAGTGTTGGTATACCTGCTAATTTAACAACTCATTCATAGCACCAGATTTCCAGTTAAAGAACTAAGGTAAGAAAACATTCCTCCAGTGCTTAGATGAGATGATTAAGTATAATTCAAGTTATTTTTCTTTTTTTAAATTCCCAACTGGATTTTTGAGAACGACACAAAAATTTGATGAAGTCACTAGAGTGATCATTGCCCAGTCCAGCTGTTTTGCTGTGATGTACTCGGGCCCTAATGTGTAGGTGGTCTTGAATTTCTGATTGCCTTCCTGTCCACACCCAGGTACCTCCCTGTGCCATCCCATTGTCCACCATGGCTCAGGTTTTGCAGGCCAAACTACAGAGGCACACTTTTTCAATGCCCCCCCAAGTTTATAGCACAGGCTCTACTTCATTGCACTTATTTGTATATCTGCATAATACATGTATAAGATCTTTGTACTAATTTCGGCCCTGATCTTGGAAGGAACAGATCAGCATACCATGAGACCACCTAGTCCAGCTTCTGACCACAGGTGAAGTACGATCAACAGCTAACCCAAAGATAGCTTCTAAATTGATGGCCAGTAGTCTCTGAGTTGTTCCATCTTGCTTGAATAATGAACTTAAATCTATTAGCTTTTCCAATGACTTTGAACTATGCCAGAAGATAATACATGCTTGTACTATTATTATGTATTTTGGAGTGAGCCTAAGAAGTCAGAGTTTAGAAGGTTAATTGGTCAATAATGGGTGGAAGTGTGTCTTTGCTCGAAGTAGTTGCCATGTCAGTAATTCCACTAGACACAACTGGAAGAAGAAGAAATACCTCCAGAGCAACTTGAAGATCTTTTTCTAAGGTTTTATACTCAAGTCTATAAATTTTTATTTTATCTTGACTCTAACTTTCTTCCTTTTTCATTTTACATCTTCAAGCTTTTATTCCCTACTTGATCATGGCTGTCAATGGTATTTTCCTGTCCCTTTTCTTTTCAGTTATAATCAGTGTGAAACTTTAAGTTCTCCTTCTGATTATTTTCTTCTACTGATTTAACTCATGTGCATTTCATTGCTCTAGGCTCATTTCATTTCTTTCTACCAACCTTACATTTCTTTTGTAAATCTTGTCCTTTTTATGAACCCCAAAGCACAGCCTAAGAAGTAGCCTATACTTTTTTTCTTTCTGGCTATTAATCTGTATGACATAACATCCAGCTAAAAGATCGATTAAAGATAGTAGAAGCTTTCTGCTAGAACTCTTAACCTGTTGCAAATACACATCAATCCATCTTAGCAAATTGAATAATGGCCCCAAAACAATACAACCAAATCCTAACCTCAGTACTTGTGATTGTAATCTTATTTAGAAATAGAGTCTGTTAAGGATCTCGAGATGAGATGATTTTGGATTGAAGGTGGACTCTGAATTCAATGACAGGCATCTTTCTAAGTGAAAGGAGAGGGAGATTTGAGGCACAGAGACACTAGAAGGCCATGT